ATGAAACACTGAGGCAGTTCAGCAGGAAGCAACGTATCAGTGGACTCGAGTCCAAAGGCTGAACCCCAATAACAAAGGTTGCTTCCTTATATATCTTTGCAAGTAGGTTATAGAAGCAAAAACCAAAGTGTAACTCATATATGGTTGCATGCAACTCTGTTGGCTACTTCACTCCCTCCAGTGCTGCGTGATCTTCTTCATGTTTAGATTCTTTTAAGTTTTATCTCTCTGAAATGCCATCCCTTCCCCCCTGCTACATTATTAGAATACAGACTTGTTTGTTTCTTTCCTGGTACTCCCAGTCCTTGCTACATATTTTCTCAGGTTGATTTCAGTATTTTGTGTCTTTCTAAGAATTTTGCCATTTCCCCTAAGCTACTTTTATGATACACAGTTATTCATGATATTCCTTTATAATCTTTTCAGTAAGATTCCTTTATAATCTTTTATTTCTAATTCTGGTAATTTGAATCTTTTCCCTTTTTTTCTTGATCAAGCTGCCTAATAGTTTGTCAATTGTTTTGATCTTTGTAAAGAACCAGATTTTGTTTTCATTGACTTTTTTCAGTTCTTTTTCTATTTCATTAATCTCCATTGAAATCTTTCTTGTTTTTTTCTGCTTGCTTTACATTTAATTTGCTCTTCTTTTTCCTGTGTTTTAAGGTGAAAATTTGGTACTTTATGGTTTTATAGCTATAAATTTTTCTCCAAGTTCTGTTTTAGCTGTGTGTTACATGTTTTGGTATGTCGTGGCTTTATTTATTTATTTATTTGTTTTTGTGGTACTGGAGTTTGAACTCAGGGCCTACACATCAATCCACTCCACCAGCCCTTTTTTGTGTTCCCTGAGCTGGCTTTGAACCACGATCCTCCTGATTTCTGACTCCTGAGTAGTAGCTAGGATTGTAGCAGGAACAAAGGGGTTGTGCACTGAGATCTGGAAGCAGCTCTTTATTGGTGGCACCATGGCTCAGTAGGATTACTCCCAAAGTCTGAGCCCCAAACACAGTAGGGCTGTTAGTTTTTATACAGTAGCAGGTTTTGAGTACATCAAGGCAGGAGGTCAATGCATGCTCATTGGAGGACAGCTTTTATATTCCTAATTTGGGTACAAGCCTGTCTCTACCTGGGCAAGAAAGGCAGGTGGGCAAGGGGGTCTTACTTCTGTTTCTCTGCTTTTGCTATTGCAGTTTCCTTGCTGAACCTCCAGCTGGAAGCTTCTGTTTTTGCCTTGGTGGTTAAATGTCAGTGAGCACAGATACTGCCTGTCAGCAAGAGGTGTCAAGACTGATTTTTTCCAATTCATTTTACCACAGGATTACAGGCATGACCCATCAGCGCCAGCTGTGCCTTTATTTTTTAAATTTCCAAGTATTTTCTTATTTTCCTTTTGAATTTTTCTTTGACTTGTTCTTTAGGAGAATATCATTAGCATGTATTAATGAGTTTTCCTAAATTGTCCCTGTTACCAGTTAACTTCATTCTGTTGTGGTTGAAGAACTTCTGTACTATCCTTCCTTTTTAAGTTTATTGAGGTCTGTTTTATGGTCTATTATAGTCTGTTCTGGAGAATGTTTCATGGATTCTTCAGAAGAATATGTTTTCTACCATTGTCCTACACATGTGTCTTAGGCCTAGTTGGTTTATGGCATTTTTTAAGTCTTGTGTTTCCTCTATCTTATGCCTCATTGTATAGATAATGAAAGTGAGGTATTGAAGACCTCATTAGTATTGAATTGCCTATTTCTCTAATCATTTCTGTCAGTTTATGCTTTGTGTATTTTGGTGTTCTGCTATGTGCATGGATGTTTGTGACAGTTTCATCTTTCTGATCAATTGATCCATTTGTCATTATAAAATGTCCTTTTTATCTCTAGTAACACTTTTAATTTTAAGGTCTACTTTGTATATCAGTGTAGCTATTCCACCTTCTTATTGTTGCTGTTTGTATGACAGATCTTTTTCCCCCGTTCTTTTACTTTCAGTCTATTTGTGTCTTTGTAAAGTATGTCTCTTTTTAGACAACATATTCGGAGTGGATTTGCATTATTTAAATTACTCTTAATAATCTGTCTTTTGATTGGATTTTTAGTACTTTTAATTTTATTGATTGAATTTATGTTGACTTTTTGTTTCCCATATATCTCATTTCCTTTTGTTTCTTGCTTTCTCTTTACTGCTTTATTTTGTATTCAATAAATATATCATTTTAATTCCATAACTGATTTTTTTCACTTTTATCTTTAGGCATTGCTCTAGGCTTTACCACACACATCTCAGCTTTTCAAGTTACTTCAGCAATATAGTAGTTTAATTCCAGCAATATGTCAAAACATTACTCATATAGAATTCTATTCTCTTTTCTTCCTTTTTTCCTTGCATATTACATCTATGGGTGTTATAAACCAACAGACACATTGTAATCATTGCCATCTGTTGTTATTTTCTTAGCTCATGACAGCTTTTCTCCAACCCACCTCCATTGTGCTTTTATTGGCAAATATGTTACTTATACATTGTATTTTTCTGTATGTTATAGGTATAGCAGATTATATGTTATTTTATGCATTTGCTTTTTAAATCATCTAAGGGAAGGAAGAAAGCAGTGTTGTAATCCCCTTTTCCACTCTTTGTTCATATGGAATGGAAATACTGTCAGTTTCTTTTAATCTGAAGAAATTCCTTTAGTATTTCAGGTGTGCCTTTGCCCCTTTCTTCCCTCCCCTCTCTTCCCTCCTCCTCCCTTCTACTCCCCTCCTTCTCCCTCCCCTCCTTACTCTTTCCCTCCCCTCCTCTCACTGTCTGTTTGTCTCTCTGTCTGCAAAGGTTTGAGGGCCTCGTGCTTGCTCTACCACTTAAGTCATATGCCAGCCCTACCAGGCATTTTTTTTTTTTTGGTGGTACTGAGGTTTGAACTCAGGGCCTCACACTTGCTAAGCAGGCACTCTGCTTCTTGAGCCACTCCGCCAGTCCTTTTTTTGTGTTAGGTGTTTTCAAGATAGGGTCTTGTGAACTATTTGCCCAGTTTGGCTTCAAACTGCAATCCTCCTGATCTCTGCCTCCCAAGTAGCTAGGAGGTGCCTGGCCCTAGCAGGCATTTTCATCTTTTTTTTTTTTTTTGGTGGGGGCAGGTACTGGGTTTGAACTCAGGGCCTACGCCTTCAGCCACTCCACCAGCCCTTTTTTGTGATGGGTTTTTTTCAAGATACAGGATCTTGCAGCTATTTGCCCAGGTTGGCTTTGAACCGCTATCCTCCTAATCTCTGTCTCTTGATTAGCTAGGATTACAGGCAAGAGCCACCAGTGCCTGGCTTCATCATTTTTCAAAGCCAGCTGCTTTGGGCACATGATAAGACCTGTGAATTTGATTAGCCCATTGACCTTTAAGGGACCTCCTTGACTGGAGGCCATGCTTGCTATGCAGGAGACAGTTCAAGTAAAAGAGGCACCTGTAGGTCCATTGATAGAGGCACAGCAGAGCTTTAGGTGTAGGGAAATCAACTCTGAATCTAGAATGAGATATTATATTATCTATTCCCACTGGGATAAAATCATTGTCTCCTTTAGGATGGAATCAGTCTGCCATCAACTGGTTGGGCAGGCTCCCCAGGGAATGATGCCGTATTTGTGACTTGGCATTGGCCCCTGCTATATATGTTGGTGGCAACATTACAGTAATCAGATCAGCCTCGGTCAAGGAAGGTGCACGTTGTTGAGTCTTTGCATAAGCTGTAATTCCTGCCCCTTGACCATTTGGCAATGAATAGCCCCTGGGGGATTAGACAAGGAGACTGACTGACATCCATATAGACTCCTGTCCATCTGCTAACTAAAAATCTCTTTTACTGTGGTGGATGTTTCCTTGGCATCACTACTGGAGGCTCATCCAAGTGTTTCTCCATCAGATTCTTTGTCATCAGTATTCCAGTCTTTTTATTTCCTTGTCCCTGACCAACTCACCAACCTGTTAGCTTCTTCCTGTTGATCAGGGCAAAACCAACCTAATGGCAATGTCTCCTTCAACATGAAGGTGACCACCAGATGTACTGCATGCCTTTCTGCTTGCTGGGAGGAGTTCCCTTCCCTATCCCCTCTGGGTGAGGCTCCATGGCAGCACATGTCCACTCTTGGCTATTTCCAGCATGCCGTTCAGCCCCGCCCCCCACACACAAACCAGGCCTGTGTTCTCTAACACAGTGGCTGAGCACCAGGAACAGTTATTGTGGAACTATCACTGGTCTACCTTTCACATTCCATTCTCCTTTGCAGTTACTGTTCCCAGGCCATAGCCTGGATTATTCTTCCTTGCCTTTTCTGTGACTGCCTCCTTAGCTTCCTGTTACCTCCTTTCTGTGAGAGGACCCTGCCTTCACTAAAGACACTTTGTACAGATACCTTGTATCACTTTATCCTGTGCTCCTGTTTGTTTCTTTCATAGTCTTACTGCTAAACTGAAGGGGCCTTATTTCCTTACTTTCTGTCTGTCTCTCTAGTTAGGGGATAAACTCCAGCGCAGGGATTCTCACCTGCCGGTTAACTGCTGGCTCCAGACTGCACAGAGAAAGGCCTGTCACATAGGCAGGACTTATAGGTTTGTGGAGGAATGAAAATTCTTTTTTACAAAAATACTGGTAATAGTGGGGAGGCAAGTGGATGATTCGAGATCTTAGTTGTAAAATTGCTTTCAAATAATTTGGACTCTGATAAGTTTGTAGTTTTATGTGTTTAGTATCTTGGAATTATAGATTACGATAACTAAATTTCCAGGAAAACTTTTGCAGATAGTGTGTCTTATAGATGAGTATAATGGAAGTCAAGAGGCCTAGGCCCCTGAATGCCAGGGGGCTGGGGTCTTGTCTGCCTCTGTGCTTGCTTATGTGACATAGAGTATATCACATAGCATGGTCTGCAAGAGCTTTCTAGATCAAAGCTGGTAGTATCAGGGTTCTCACAAAGCCTTCCAGCCTTGATTCATGTTTGTGCACCTCACATTTTGACAGGAACAAGACCTGGTCGGGGGCCCACTTTGTGTCGGAGCGGAGCAGCGTATTGGTGTTTTTGCCAGGTGTGAATGTCATAATTTTGTGACCTAGAATTATAATACTCTGGACAGCACATAATATGAAAAATGGTAGTCTCCATGTCTGTTTTTTTAGATACTTGAGAACATAAACGAATGAGACTTTGAGTTTGACTTTCTACTATAAGCTTTGTATTGCTAAAAAGATTTTTTTTTGGTGGTACTGGGATTTGAACTCAGGGCCTTACATTTACTAATCAAGTGCTCTACCACTTGAGCAACATACTCAGCCCCTAAAAAGATTTCTTATTGACAATGAAGAGTATAACTTTTCAAAGACAGACTTGCCACATTTACTTTTGTTAAGCTTGCATTCACTTATGTAGTTATAAATGAGGTTAATTGTCATCAGTCTCTGTTAAAGCTTACCTAGTAACAGTGAAATGTAATACAAGAATCATCAGAATAGTCTTTGTGTTTCTTTCTCAGTGCTTGATAAACAAATCTGAAAAGATTAAGTTAAATTGTACTTTTTTCAAAATGATTTTAAATTATTTTTATCAAGTAGTATAGTTTGATGGAAATTAAAACAATAATTCAAATATTTTTCATTGTTAAAAGATCATGTATAGAGCATATGAGTGTTTGTGCTTATCGTGATGGAAAACAAAAAGCGTACAATGAGAGAAACTTAATTTTGGAATGCAGCATGTGAGTTTAAAATCTTTGTCACATTTTGCTTAGGGTATGGATTCATTTCATGTGTAGAAAACAATCACTGGCTGATAGTTTGGGCAGAGTTGCATTTACTCCCTTCCATTCTTACCAGATGATGCACTTAACTAAGTGACTATTGTGTGCAGCAGAACCATGTGGTATCAACCTTGTCATACCTAAGATGAGATAAATACTTTTCAGCTGCTAGACATTCCCTGAGTAAAATATTTAAGTGATATTTTGTATTTAAATTTGTTGTCTTTCTGTTATATGCTTATATAAATTCAAGTTTGATATATGTTTATATACTTTATTAATCTATATTAAGTTTATATACTTTATGTGAGCAGTTTTGTTTTTCTACAGCTGTTATACCAAGGTGCCACAAATTGGATGGCTTAAAAACAATAATGATTTATTTTCTCATTGTTCTGGAAGCTAGGTGTTCAAGATCAAGCTGTCAGCAAGGCTGTGCCCCTTTGAGCTTCTGGGAAGACTCCTTCTTGGCCTTTTCCCAGCTTCTGATTGTGGTCACCAGTCCATGATGTTCTTTGGCTTGTAGCTCTTATCACTCCCTTCTCTGCTGCTGTTAGGTGGCATTCTTTCTGTGTGTGTGCTTCTTCCCTTCTTCTCATGAAGACACCAGCCCTATTGATTGAGGGCCCAGCCTCATCCTAACTAATTACATCTGTAATGACTGTTTCCAAATAAGGTCACATTCTGAATTGCTGGAGTTGGGACTTCAGTGTAGCCTTTGGGGAGACACAGGTGAATCCACAGTGACTCAAGTACTGATAATTCAGGATGAGGCAAAAGCACATGCAGGTGTTACATATCGATAAGCATTTTAAACCTAATAAAAAAGACTTCGTGTATCTTTATGATTAAATCTTAGCTCTCAACTACTGAGCTACACCCAGTCCAAAAATTTTGCTTTGTTTTGTTTTTTTTTTTTTTTTTGAGACAGGGTCTCTGTGTAGCCCAGACTGACCTTGAACTCAGTATATCACTTGGGATGGCCTCAAACTTGCAGGTCTTCTGCTTTTAGCTAGAGGCTGGGAATCCAGGTGTGAACCACCGTGTCTGATTTTGAAATGTTTTTCACTGGAAAAATTTAGGAAATTTGGAAAATTTGTGGGAAGAAAAGAAATGAAAAATTACTCATACAGCCAATGCCATTGGTAGTTACTGCTTTGGCAAGGAAAATATTGGAAGGATATATGTATATATTTTTTAATATTTCTGAGTTACTGCTGGTTAATGTCATTATGCATTTTTATTTGTAATTCTGACATACTTAGGTGAAAAGGATAAAAAAGTCAAATGGGAATTGATAGGGCCTTCTTTGAAAAAGATGTCATTTTAATTTATAAGTTAGTTGTTAGCAATAAATACAAATTTAGTTTTTTCCCCTTCTAGGTCTGGGTGAAATAAACTATATGCATGAACTTCTCACAAACATGATTCACAAAAGGTGTGTTTAAAATGAAATGGCTTTATTTTTACTTTTAGAGTATTAAATTGTTTATGCCTTTATATAATTTTAATTATCTCAATGAGTAGTTACTTTTATATCTCATGTGTATGATGTGGTATTTTATTTTAGTAATTTGTTTTCTTAGGTTACAAGTCTATCCGCTCCATTCCAGTGTGACTTTAGAAGAACAGAACAATATATTTTTAAGTCCAGTCCCTGGGTACCGAAAGGTAGGAAGGCTGGAAGACAAGTTTTAAGCACCTTCCTCAGAGACTCTACTTGGGAAAGTAGCCTCTTTCTCGTTGTACCTGTCGCTGAGTAGGTTAGCTAGTTATGCTACTTAATTTTGCATTTTATTTTATAAATCACTTTGCTACAAAGATAAGATTTTTTTCTCTTTTTTGAGACAGGATCTCACTATGTAGTCCAGGTTGGCCTTGAACTCAAGATCCTCCTGCCCCATCTTTTCCAGTGCAAGGATTTTAAGTGTACCCCCCTGCCCATGCCTGGCAAAGCTAAGGGTTTTTAATTTCTTTCAGGACATTATTGCTAGTGGATTTTGATGCCTTTAATTATTTTTTGGTATCTTCCAGACTTTGGAACTCTGTAGTGTCCCTGACACTCCTCTGGTGAGTTTGTCAGTGAGGCCATGGTCCTCTTGAGGTGGATTTCTTAGTTTTAGACCCTTCTGAGCTGCCTCAGATGATCAGCGATCACCTTGAGCTTGTGGTCCAACTCTGATTTCCATGAGAATGTTTGGTATTTCTAGAGGAAGCCTAGACCTTGAATGTTATGGCTTTGACCTGGCTGTGCTTTTTTGCCCCTGGCAATTCCACAGTCTCCCTCACCCCTGAAGCTTCCATAGCAGGGTCAGGAGCAGTTCTTTGCACAGGGTCTTGCCTGCTGCTTTTAAGCACCTTCTGTGCTGTGTGTGATTAGTTTTCCATACTTTGGGGCTTTTGGATCAGTTGTGATCTGCATAAAATAGGAAAATCTCTAGTTTCAGGTTTTGAGTTCACAAAGAAAAAAAAGAAAAACAAATTTTTAGTTCAGTATTTATACTAAGAAGCAACAGTGTTCAAGCAAGTTCCTTCTTAAACTCTGCATAATAGTATCCAGAATGGAAGGGGAATGTGAGCCTCTTTTCTTTGATGTTCCACAGATTATTCTGTCTACCAACATTGCAGAGAGTTCTGTCACAGTTCCAGATGTCAAGTATGGTAAGGTCTTTCTCTACTTGCCTTCCCACATAAACTATAGTATCCATAGGTCTTCTTGTCTCAAGAATTGTCCCTCCCACCATGTCATCTCTTCCTTGTTTTGGAAGAGAGACTTCAGAGTAGTAGGCTCACATGAGGAGTCCTGTCCTCTTGGTTTATCACTTCTTCCTCTGAGCATGCCAGTTCACTTGGGGAAGGGCTGTTTTTGGGGTGTCTAGGGCATTTCAAGAGGACTGATGAGAAGCCCAGCTTTGGGGCTACCCAGGTGGAGTTCTCTGATGGGGGTGGAGACAGATGTTGGGATAGAATCCATGAATCTCTGTCCCTGAAGGTAGCTTGGAAGGAAGCCATGCAGGCTCCAGAACCAAGCTCTCCATCATTTGGTCCTCTGCATGCATGTCCTTGATAACTGCGAGGTTGCTTATTGATGAGTTTTCTGTGCTCATTAACCATATTTGAAAGCCCAGTGCTTGTGTCTAGGAGCACCATGGTGAGTAAGACACACTCTTGCCCTCACAATGACTACATTCTGGTGGGAGAGACAGATGATTAGTAGGTAAAAAATACAGCTCAGGGAGAGGTAAGTGTTCATAAGAAAATAAATCAGGGGATGTGCTGGCATTAGACACATAGTGCAGAGTGGGCAGCAGGAGGCCCAGCTACATGCCATGGTGGCTCCTGGACTTGTGGTTGGGTGCTTACAGCGGGAGGTAAGGACAGCTAGCAGGGTGCAGATGGATGGCTTTAGGTCCCTGTGGGAAGAAAGATGGCTGGGGCAGGATCCCATCAGTGGAGGAGAGAGAAGATGGGAGTTCTGTCTTGAAACTGTGATGTAGGTGGGAATGCTGTTGGACTGGGGTGGCCATGGTGATAGAAGGAAAAGACTTATTAGGTAGGGTGATGGGGGAGCACGTTTTTAAGGAAGTGATATTTGAACAAAGACCTAAATTAAATGCGAAGGGAGCTGGACAAAAATGCAGTTCAGGCATAGGAACAGATTAAAGAGCAGCCAGAAAGACAGAATTGGATAAACCCAAGGGAAAGGACAGCTAGTGGGTGTTTTGTCTCTGTGCTAGGGAAAATTGTGGAAACAAAGCAGACAGAAGTCTGGGGTGAGATGTGTATTGGAAGGATAAACAATAGGATAATTAAAAATAGGCAGTGAGTTAGATGATGCTGATAGAAGAACAAAAAGTGTAGTAGGGAGTTTTGGGGAGGGCATGACATGACAGCAGGAATAGTTGGGGAAACTTCTCCCAGAGGGGGACACTCTAGTTCCATCCTGGGTTGATATGGTCAAAAACCAACAAGAGGGCCTAGGCCATTGGACCAGGGTAAGCAAGGGAGGAAAAAAGGTGGAAGGAGGGATCCAGGATCAGTGGGGCCCCGGGTCATGCAGGACTTTACAGGGCATGGTAAAGACTGCTTTGCTGAGTAAGGTGGAGAGGAGAAATCACACAACCTAAAGGCCATTACCAGGATCACTTTGGGTATAGACTAAAATAAGACAAAGGAGAGGAAAAGGAAGTGTGTTGGGAGATAGGTTCTATGGCCTGGGTGAGAATTGGATGGTTGAAAATAGGACAGCAGTGGAGGGGATAGAAGTACCTGTTTTTGGGTTGATTCTGAAGGTAGGGCCAGTGAGGGGGTTGCAGAGGTACCTAAGGGATTATGAGAGATGGAATAGACACCTAAAGGTGGCCGAGCTGCCAGGAAGGAAAGGGCCTATGTGTATCTTCCCTTCACACTACATAGGCGACACAGGGTAAATGGAGAGCCGTCATTCACCAGGACTGTGCTGGCATTAGACCCCTAGGGCAGAGTGTGCCGCAGGAGACTGGGCTGCATGCCATGGTGGCTCCTGGACTTGTGGTTGGGTGATCCCAGGGAGAGTTGAGTATAGGAGCAGGGGAGGGGCAGCCAACAGGTTACAGATGGACAGCTTTAGGCCCTGTGGGGGGGATGGCTGGGGCAGGATTCCAACAGTGGGAAGAGAGGGAGAGGGAAGATGGGAGTTCTGTTTTGAAACTGTGATAGAGGGAGGGAGCTCTGTTGGACTGGGGTGGGCCACGGTGACAGGAAGTTGCTAATGCAGGATGGGAGGCAATGGTATGAGAGGGGCGGGCCTCGGGCCTGAGAAGGTAACTAACCGTTGGGTGCATCCAGGTGAGCCCGTCTTAGGACACATTGGGTCTTACGGGTTATATGTTTTGTATGCCTAAAGACTTTCAGTCCTCATCAGGGAGACTTCAGTGTCTCTGACGTAGATAGAAGTGAATGTTTTTGAGAGTACACTAATTCCGAAAGCTTCGTGTTGTGTTCTTGTTGTTTTATCACTGTGCATTGTGATTTAATATTATAAGAAATCACATGTTAGCAAGGTGTTTATATTCTTTTTTTGTTTTGTTTTCAAATGGCAGTTATAGATTTTTGTCTAACTAGAACTCTAGTTTGTGATGAAGATACGAATTACCAGAGTCTGCGGCTGAGCTGGGCTTCTAAGACCAGTTGTGACCAGAGAAAAGGTAAGGCACTTCTGGCAAACATACTGAGGACTCGATGGGGACAAGGGCACATGCGGGGTCTTTTGGAGAACTTTTGACTGTGCATTGTCACTCTTTCTCAGATGCTGCCTTTATTGAGATCAGTTTGAAGTTTAAGCACCAGCATGTCCAGTTGTCAAGTCTCACTTCACTCCACACTTCTCCTCTTCCAGTGTATTAGTGGCTTCTTTGTGCATAATGGCCATCTTCACACTATTGATTTTCACAATGAAATTACATTTTTTTGGAACTGTTACTGGGTGATTTTCCTGAGGAGGAGAAAAAGAATAGGGCGCTTCTAAACTGAGATGGTGCCAAAAGCCCATCTTGTGCAAATCCAGTTTGCTTAGTAAAATGAGTTTAAGGGGTTACTTACAAAATGGTGGCTGACTGTGTAGGGTGGCATTCACCTGAAGTCACCAAAGTTGTTCCCCACCCCACTTACCGAGCTTCTAGTCTCTATATAGCAGAAACTATAGACTTACAGTGCCACCTGGTGTCAAAATAGCAGCAGTAACTACAGTCTCAAATGATAAGACAGACAAAAGCAGACTCTGGGAAAGTCTTAATGTTTATGTTCCTGCCCTTATCAGGATTCTGCTGGTCTCTCTGAATATGTGTCACACTGTTGGAAGGATGGCTTTTTTTTCTGCAGTCTGGCACATAGAATAGCTAGATTAAATGGCAGCTTGCTTTAAGATAGAGTTATTTTGGCTAGGATTTGGCAGGCTAATCTACGGAAGCCAAGTGGATCACTTAATTAATTTTGACAAACCTTTCTCTGACTTCCTCCAACTTTAGATATTTGTGGGATGTTTTTCTAAACAGATGGCTCCACAGAGGGCTCAGGCTTTGCTGCATCATCTGTACATAAACTTGGCAGAGGTGAGGGTGTGGGGTTATTTAGGAGGTGGGATGCTTTGGTCAGAGTGGAGGTGCATCTACAACATTCCTGTCCCAGGTGTCACCTTCTTCTGTGGCAGAACAGGCTTTAGGGGACAGTGTCCATGGTATGTACTGAGAAGTGGTTGTATTTTCTTAGAAAACCTCCTGGGGAAGGTTCTAAGAAAAGGTTCTTGGAAGACCACCCCAAGAATTCCAGTTGGGAAATTTACTATATAAAAAAAACAGAGCAGCATTTATGAGGATTTACCTTAGGGCAGACACTACTGGTAGGCAGTATTCTAAGCACTTCATTTCCTCATTTAGTCCTTGTTAAAACCATGAGGTGAGCACACAATGTCATTAACACTCTAGTCTGAGACACAGGGAAATGGTAATTGCTCATGTTTCTCTTACAGAATGGTTTGAATGAGATTTAAAAATTTTTTAGCCTGAGTTAATTGTATAAAGGGTTTCATTATTACATTTACATGCATGTATATATTGTAGTTTGATCAAATTCACCCCATCTGTATTATTCTCTTTTTTTTTTTTTTGTGGTAATGGGGTTTGAACTCAGGCCCTCATGCTTGCTAGACAGGCACTCTACCACTTGAGTCACTCACCAGCACTGTTTTTTGTGTTGGGTATGCTGAACTGTTTGCTCAGACTGACTTCAAACCACCATCCTCCTGATCTCTGCCTCTTGAGTAGCTAAGATTACAGGCGTGAGCCGCTGGCGCCCAGCGTATTATTATTTATTCATCCCTCCTTTTTCCCTTTCCTTTTGAGCAATTTTTAGTGAGTTTCCTTATGCTGTTTTCCTATGTATTACGGATATATATGTGCATATGTATTTTGATCATATTCTACCCCCCTCACCCTCTCCATTCTCCCTCTTCTCTGTTGCTGGTTCTCCCCCCAAATAGTCCCCTTTATTATTACCATTATTATTATATCAAGATTGTGCATATGAGTGAAAATATGCAATACTTGTCTTTTTGAGCTTGGCCTATCTTGGTCAGCATGATGACCATTTTAGTTTCTTCCATTTTCCTGCAAACAACATAGTCTCATTTTTCTTTATGGCTTCACTGTGTATATGTACCATATGTTCTTTACCCACTCATCAGTGTTGGCCACCTAGGCTGATTACATAGCATGGTTATTGTGAATAGTGTTGTAATAAATATGAGTATGCAGGTGTCTCTATTGTATGCTGACTTACATTCCTTCAGATATATGCCCAACAGTGGTGTACCAGGTAGTTTTGATTTTGGTTTCTTGAGGATCCTCCATAATGATTTCCATAGTGGCTGCACTAGTTTACATTCCTCCAAAGTGTATAAGGGTCTCCCCCTGCACCGCCTGCTGCATCATCACCAGCATTTGTTGTTTGTTTCCTTTATCATTGCTATTCTGACTGAGGTGAGCTGGAATTTCAGTGCTGTTTTGGTTTTGCTTTTCCTTTATGGCTAAGGATATTGACCATTTCTTCGTGTATTTATTAGCAGGACTAGATTAGATCCAGAAATCTGGTTTCATTCTTGACTAGTTTGCTGTGTCCCCTCTTTCTCCTGAAGTACTTTGCTCTAGCGAAGAGTACTGATAGCCGATGAAGGTGTCATTCCAACTTAGTCATATAGAGTCTCATCACTGTGAAAGGCCTTATCTGGAGTTGGTTGTTGTTATAAAGTTAGGTGGAAAAAGAACATTAAACTGTAATTATCTCACTGTGCCCAACCACCTTCCCCTATTCATTCCCTCTGCCAAAAAAACTGTACTTAGAAGAAAGGACTAGAAATAATGTTAAAAGTAATTATCTTTAGATCAGACTTAGGGTTATCCTTTGTCTACCTTTTTGAGTATTCAAAATTTCTGTAATTAGAAAAATGCTCATTATATCTTCCCCTACAGAAAGTTGAAAAAGTAGTGCATAGAATCCCTGAATCCTTCTCCAGCTTCCCCCTGGACATCTTAAGTGCAGACTTTTATTGATAGGCTGCAGGCGTCATCCGGTTGCAGTTTTACACACTCCCCTGTGCGTGTAGGTTTGTGTGATCACTGCTTGTTCCACTGCTGAGAAGGGCCTGCTTCATGCTGCCCCTGTACCACTATACCACCCACTTTCTACCTCTATAGTTTTGTCATTTTCACCGGGCTGGAGGTTAGGTAATGGAATCATATAGCATGCAGCATTTTGATGACAAAATGCAGAACACCTGCTTAGGAAGCATGAAACCCTGAGTTCAAACCCCAGTACTGCAAAAAAAAAAAAAAAAAAAAGAACTACTGGCACCTGCTGCAACTCTGCTGGACTTGATGACAAAACAAACTACAGACTGGGAGTAAAGTTGCAAACCACTTATCTAACAAAAGACTAGTATCTAGGTTATAAAAACAATTTGAGTCATGTCCCCATCCCTTTTTGCTTTAATTATTTTTTACATACGGTCTCGCACTTCTTACCTGGGGCCTCTCTCAAACAGCCTCTTAGGCCTCCTGCATAATTGGAATCGCCAGTGTGTGCTGCTACACCCTGTTCTTTATTGAGTTGTGGTCTTGCTTTTTTTTTTTTTTTTTTTTTAAACCCGTGCTGGCCTCAAAATTTTGTGATCCTCCTGACCTCTGTGATCTCTGCATATAGGCATGAGTCAATTCCTTTGTCTTACTGAAGGTGTTCATTGCACAGTCACCTGTTGAAGAACATTTGAGGTTTTTTTGATCTTGGCTTTTAGGAATAAGGCAGCCATAAATTGCATGTACAGATTTTAAAAATTTCATTATTAGCATGTAATAGTTGCACAGGAGGATACACTGTGATATTTACATATGGGCTTACAGTATAGCTTACAGTATACCTACTCCCAGGCACAGATTTTTGCATAAGTTTTCATTTCTCTCGAATCACTGGATCATATGGTCAAATATATGTGTAGGTTTCTAAGGAGCTGCCCTGACTACTACCCTGGTAGCCTCAGCACCTTACACCCCCAGTAGTGTGTGAGCTCCCCTTTCCCCACGCCCTTAACAACAGTGAGTGTCACCTCTTGGTTTTCTTTGAGCCATTCCAGCAGCTTGGTTATGCAATCTCATTTATTGTTAACTTGTACTTCCTTAACTGCTCTTGAGGCTAGCATCTTTTCCTGTATTTATTTGCCACTTGCATCTCTGTAGTGAAATGTCTGTGTCTGTTGCCCATGTTTTAAATTGGATTGCATATTTTTACTGTTTATTTTATTTTTTGTTTTTTTTTTTTTTGTACTACCAGGGTTTGAACTGAGGGCCTCAGCTTGTTAGGTAGGCGCTCTACCATTTGGGATACTCTGCCAGCCCTGCTGTTGAGTTTTGAGAGTTGTTTTTATAACCTAGATTCGAGTCTTTTGTTAGATATGTGGTTTGCAACTTTCCTCCCAGGCTGTAGTTTGTTTTGTCATCATCTTACCCCATAGTCTTTTTAGAGAAGTTTTAAACTTTGGTGAGGCCCAGTTTTATCTGTTTTTTTCTGTTATGGTTCATGCTTTTGGTGTCACATGCAAGAATTCTCTATGTAGCTTTGAGTCCTGCACAGTTTTTTCTTGTGTTTCTTATGGAAATTTCACAGTTTTATGTTTTGTACACTGCTAGTAGGGACTGACCATTGCAGAAAATGGATGTTATTTAAAATGTTTTGGCTTCTATTGCATATTGAGCCAAGGTTGTTTTCTTCTGAAATGCTCATGGGGTTTTATAATGTTGATTACTATGTAAAGTCAGCACTTACTCTTATTCTAGGATATTCTTATTTAGAATAGCTATTTTTCATTTTTTTTTCATTTATTCACATGTGCATACATTGTTTGGGTCATTTCCTCCCCCCTTCCTCCCCCCTTCCCTTCTTCCCCTCCTCAGTTTCAGGCAGGTCCCATTCTGCCCTTGTCACTGATTTTGTTGAAGAAAAGGCATAAGCATAATAAGAAAGACAAAGCAGTTTTTGCTAGTTGAGTTAAGGATAGCTATACAGAAAGATTCCTACTATTGCTCTCATGTACCCATGTGTTACCACCCATGTTGATTCAACTCTAACTGATCTTTACATTGGTTCCTGATCCCCTGCTAGT